TGTATCTTTTTTGCTATTACAGTTAGAGCTCTCAAAGTTGGAGGAAACATTTACAATACAATGTTTAACAAAACAAAACACATGAATTGTGAATTAACTTATTATATTTGAAAAAAATTGATTTTATTTGCACATGGCGTGGATAACGACAGTAGTCGAAAAATTTAATTTTACAAAAAAAGACATAATTACTAAACCAATAAAGCTATTGCTATAAAATGTTCAATACAAACAGATAATGTCCATATAAAAATAAGGCACATTTAAAATAAATAAAATTAAAATACAGATCAGAAAAATTTGGGCAATTTTAGAAAAAATAATTCATGAAAAGCAACCGCTGCCGAGATTTTTTTACATTTAAATACATAACTTTTAAACTAATGAAGCTACTGCAATCAAACTTTCAGTAAAAATAGTTTGTGACAATCCAAATGTAACAGAATATTTAAATATTGCAAAAGCAAAAAAAATCATGCTATAAAAAATTTAAAAATATCATGTAATTTGTCGAAATAGATCTATATTTTTAAGCATAACTTTTAAACTAACAATGCTAATTCAATAAAATCTTCAGTACAAATAGAGAGTAACAATCTAAATTTAATAAAGTATTTAAATACAAAAAACAATTCAGAAAATTTTATATAAAAGATATATGAATCTCCATCATCATTATTGTACCCGTGCATTTAAATACAAAACATAAAAAACAAAAAAAGCCCGACATGTACCGAAAACCGCCCTTCGCGGCTGGTCACAGAAATTTACCACACAAACCCCGCTGTTTTTTTTGCCCGCGTCGTCCGGTATTTGAGTGCCTAGTATAGACATAAAACAGTTGGATCTATGTAGAAATAGATCTGCTGCAGAACCCGGTTATCCATTACAAGATAATTATGTGAATCCAATAAATATAATATTGTTTCATGGTAGCTCCATGGAGTAATTATCTGTGTCTTGATATTGACATCATATTCATTTATTTTCATTCAGTTGAGAAAAGAGTCACAACTTGTTGATACGCTAAAGTATGAGAATGCAAAGTTCGTTTGCAAGCAGGGGCATCGCACTAAAGAAAGTACAAGCAAAGGCATCCGTCCATACCTTAAGTAAGTCATTTTTTTCTTACACTCTCAGAATGTAATGTTTTATATAGGGGTGTGCCGGACCCCGGTCCGGAATCCGGTTCCGCCGGATTTTGCACTATCCGGTGAAATCCGGTTCCGCCGGATTTACATGTATCCGGAACAACCGGATTCCGGAATCCGGAATATACCGGATTTCGGAATTTGCCAGATTTTGTGACTCACCGGATCATAATCTGAAATAAAAGTAATTCTCTTTCCCGAATTTCACACGATCACGATACATTAATCGATTGTTTCGAGCGTTGAGCTTGTTTAATGTTTAATATTCCGTACATACCAGAGGCTAGAGTCAGCACCGCTAATAGTGGCCAATAGTGTAGGGACTTTGATAAGAAAATTTAAACTTTTTGTAAAAATAAACCAATGGCATAGTTGAAAAGATGTAATTTTTTAAAGAATTATAACACCAAAATCATATTTTTAGCTGTTGTAGTTTTAAAGTTATGAATTTTTAAAGTACGACTTGGTTTGTCATTTTTTAACATGGACTGCATCTCCACATTCTGTGATCTCATTCCACCAATCCCGTCATGCGCAATGACTATATAGTTTATATAAGGCAACGCATTCCCTGCCTTATCACTAAAATACTGTTTAGACTTAGTTTAAACTTTCAACTTTGGCACATGAATAATTAATTAAAGCTTTCCCTGACCAATGGTTTAATAGTTTTTGCACACGGCAAACTCTTATGAATGAAACTCTGAGGTAGTACTACGATACAGTTATGCAAGTGGCTGTGAATGGTTGCCAATGACAACGTGTTGCACACGGTAAATTCTGATCATTTATAATATGGATTCTACCGGGTTGTTAAAGCTCAAATTAAAACATTCCAGTTTTAATGTCTTTAAATGCATTCTGAAACACACGTTATCAATTATTTTGATGTAAATAGTGATAATAAATTAATATTTCCTAAGTATCGTCAACTTCCGACATTAAAAAGGGGGGCGTGGCCAAACCCATGGCGAAATTAGGTTGAGCGAGCTGCATAACCTGCTGCGAACGCGTAGAAACATGGCGTCTCTCTAAGACACTTATCCAAATGGAACGGAACTCAAATATATATCGAAAGTACTAATTTAATAATAAATAGACACATACATCGGAAAATTAAAAACTCGGATTTTTTGGCGCCGATTGCGAATTCCCATACACAAAAAGTAGTAGTCCACCTTGACTTACCGAAGTATCTACCAATAGTACCAAAATCCGGAATCCGGGAGAAACCGGAATCCGGATCCGGCGGATTTGGCATAAGAAAATCCGGATCCGGATCCGGTTGGAAAAAACGGATCCGGCACACCCCTAGTTTTATACATATCTGCTGTTTATATCCTGACTCCGATTTTGTACAGTATCTTGTACAGTATCGTACACAGGCTAGCCAGTGGTTCCCAAAATATAAGCTGCATCACATTGTGACCATGTTGTAGTGGTTGAAAACGAAATACCAGTATGCCACTCACAAAATATATATAATTATAATGATTATAATGTCAATTTTGCTATTTATTAAGCAATGAGAATAAAATGTTTCAAATATTTTGAAAAATGGAAATATGGTCAATGGTTAACCTGGGGAACCTCCATGACCTTAGTGCAGTGGAAGACATCGCCGGCCCTGCTCTAACTGCCTTTCAGCCCTAATGTGATAATGAAAAAAACAATCAGTGTTGATCAGGCTTTCTCCTTTTTTGTGTTTCAGAACATTCAAGACTGCTTGCCCTGCATTTTTAAGGTTAAATCTGGTGGAAGATGGGGCTGTGTATAAGTTAAAATTGACCACCTGCAACCTGGAGCACGAAAACCATCCTACTGGACCAGAGGTATTTATCAATTTTTTTTTAATCCATTTATTTTGCCATAAGTCCAATTGTTTTAACATTTTACTACCGTTCCCTTTCACTACTGCATACTGCACAGTTTGTGATAAATGTGCAACATCATATACAATTGTTCAGTTACCATTATTCTGTTGTTTTTGGTTTTATTCGGTTTCAATATGAAAATTGCGGACTATATATAGTTTATATATTATTTTATTTTCCTTATATAAACTACTACTAAGCATGTGTTAGGCACAAGTATTTTTATCTAGCATAGAAACACATGCCTTAGGTCTTCGACATTGTCACGAGATTAGAAAAGTAATTATTGTCATTTTTATTGTAATACCGTTACATGATTAGCAATTTAAAAGTTAGGGAAAGTATGTCACTTTTATTTCTTGTTGTGGGTTACATGTGGCTTTTCTCCAATAATGAAGTTACATAATATGTTACCGAAAGCAATTTTTAAAGGAACAGTAATGGATTAAATAATGTTTCTCTCCAGTTTTCAAGATTATATCCAGAATACAGAATGCCTCAAATCACAGAGCACCTGGTGGATGTGCTCAACATCAGATCTGCATCGACCAAAGAGGTACAAGAATTGGTTGCCAAAAAGGAGGGGAAAATGTTGATGACCCAAGACATTAAAAATTTTAGGAATAAATGCTGTAATTATGCAAGAGGGGAAGAGGCAGAAAATGTCGATAAAGTGTTGCGAAAGGTGCAGGCTGAGGGCGGTGTCATTAAATATGGAACCAGTGAGAGTGGAAATTTTAAATTTCTATCATTCATAACAGCAAATATGCTTGATTCCCTCAATCACTTTCCTGAAATACTTATTATGGATGTCACGTACAAAGTGAATAAACAAAACTACCCCCTCCTCAACATCCTAGTTGTCGAGTAATGGCCAAGGCAGACCAGTGTTTCATTCTTTTCTTGCGTCGGAAGACTCCACTATCCTATCTTCTTGTCTTTTGTTTTTTGCAAGTTCCTTCGATTCTCAGCGCACCAAAACCATATTTGTTGACAAGGACATGGCAGAAATCTGTGCCATCAAATCATCACTTCCGTTTGTTAATATTCGACTTTGTGCTTTCCACACAACGACTGCCGTTTAGAAGGCTTTACAACAGAAAAAGCTGTCCTCTTTTCAAATATCTTGTCTCCTTGACTTGTTCTATGAACAGATCCCTCTGTCTCTTCTGATAGCCTTGATGTTGTTGTCCTGCCATCTGTATCTTCACCACCACCCTCTGTCTCTTCTGATAGCCTTGATGTCGTTGTCCTGCCATCCTTAGCTTCAATACCACCCTCTGTCTCTTCTGATAGCCTTGATGTTGTTGTCCTGCCACCTGTATCTTCTCCACCACCCTCTGTCTCTTCTGATAGCCTTGATGTTGTTGTCCTGCCATCTGTATCTTCACCACCACCCTCTGTCTCTTCTGATAGCCTTGATGTCGTTGTCCTGCCATCCTTAGCTTCAATACCACCCTCTGTCTCTTCTGATAGCCTTGATGTTGTTGTCCTGCCACCTGTATCTTCTCCACCACCCTCTGTCTCTTCTGATAGCCTTGATGTTGTTGTCCTGCCATCTGTATCTTCACCACCACCCTCTGTCTCTTCTGATAGCCTTGATGTCGTTGTCCTGCCATCCTTAGCTTCAATACCACCCTCTGTCTCTTCTGATAGCCTTGATGTTGTTGTCCTGCCATCTGTATCTTCTCCACCACCCTCTGTCTCTTCTGATAGCCTTGATGTTGTTGTCCTGCCATCTGTATCTTCTCCACCACCCTCTGTCTCTTCTGATAGCCTTGATGTTGTTGTCCTGCCATCACCCGCTGATTTCTTGGTTCCTTCTTCGTCATCTGCTGGCTCATCCTGTGGATTTTCCAATGTTAAACTGTCCCTTGTGAAAACAAAAGGCAGACCTAGACAGGTACAGTCATTCACTAGATGGTACAGGAAAAGAAAAGCATGTCCCAAGGATTTTCATACTAGATCAGATGAGGTGAAGAAGCAGATGCTTCTATCTGGGTGTCTGTTGGATGCTACTGTTCTCCCACCTTTCTCTGTTTTAAATCTGAAGTCAACGGAAAACATTTTTTCTGTATGTGCCAATGCCAATATTTCTTTGTGTTCTATTCAGCCCTTATTTGCTGAAGATGCATGGGAAAAACTTGAGGCCAGAATAGCAGAAAAGAAGGGCAAAGATTTATTTTTTTGCAATTCGTGCTTCATTATGGATGATAGCCAGTATAAAATGATAGAGTGTGAGGGTTGCCTCGAATGGTTTCATTACCATTGTCTTGGCTTGAGGACAGCCTCAAAGCCAAAGAAATGGTATTGCGATGCTTGCTGGCAGTGAATGCCTTCATTTTAACTCGTAATACCGGTTGTTTTAAAAAATGCAGGCCTGCACAAATTTTTCAGTAAAAAGTCTGTCATATTCAGGAGATACCAGTATATTGGCTGTTCTCAAGATATCTGCCAAATGATCATCACTCAAACATGAGTGCCTTAATGAAAATGTCTGTTCACATATATAAATGTTTCAAAAATGTTTATATTATTTTCTGTGTATTGCAATAGTATAAATGAATATGCATGGAAGTGTTATTAAATTACAAAATTTTAGTTTTGCATGACTGCTTTAATGTGTTCTCTGTTGTTTATTGACGCTTTATAGTGTCATTGTAATCTGTATATTCTGCTGGTTTAAACTTTCATATGATGTATATGAGATATGGGTGTATGTTAGTTTTTGTTTCAATGTTTTGCATTTGTTTAAAATTGTTAATATTAATTATTAAGTTTCGTTATTTTACCCATTAATGCTTTTTATTTTTTTCATGGAATTATGCGTTGACTTAGTTTCTTATTGTCCTTATTATATATGGATCACATACTTTCATGCACGTACTTTTTAAAATGTAAATAAACATTATTAACTAATTAAATTTGTTATATATATTGATTTTGATCTATTTTGGTTATCTGTTATATTCACTGCAGAAACTTGTTGTGACTTATTATAATAAATAAGCCTCCCACAGCTAAGAACACAGACAAAAATGCACACATAAATATTCTGTTTGAACTACATATACTTATACTTAATACTTTAAGTTTAACTTAAGTTAACAAAAGACATTTTACACACCAGTATATTGGTTATGGAAATTGTTTGAACAGTTTTGGAATACTGGAATTGAAATGATTAAAGAATAAGAACAGTGTCACTTAATTGAATCCAATAAGTGCATGTTAGTAATATTAATGATCACATCAGATGCTGATAATAAACTAAATATTTTAATGTTACTAGGCCTTTAGACTGATTATATACTTTATTAAAGTATTTTTTTAAATATTATTTTAGCCCATCGCCATTAGTTCAATGAGTGATGGTAATAGTAATATTTAAAAAGGTGGTAAGACTAAGTAAGAGGGAGAGTCTAAAATCAGGTTAGGTAAAAAGGAAACGAAGTAAGAGCAAAACCAGAAGAAAAGGCCACAGCAATCAATGATGTTGGCAAGAAGCCTTCATTGAACAAATAGTAGTAGAATAACACAAAAATTAACACTGCAATTGCAATGTAGTATCAGAGAGGATAGCAATAGCAACATTTGAGCTGTCACCAGAGGTCACACACTTGCACAAATAAATTCTCTGTTTGGGCTATCCATATATACTTTTACCACTTAGTTAACATAAGATATGTTAATGTTACACACCAGTATATATTGGTTTGGGAATACGTCAATGATTTCAAGAGTCACTCAATTGAATCCAAATAGAAACTAATTATAATTAATGATCACATCTGATGTAGATAGACTAGTTATTTAAATGTTACTATGCCTATAGACTAATTATATACTTATTCTTCATGCTAGCACTGGCATGTAGTCATGTAGCCCACTTTCCCTTCCTTAGGCTTTGATCATATAAACAGATCACATGCCCTAATTCCTAATGGTTGTCACAACGTAAAATAAATCTTGTTTTTTTTTATTCCTAATGGTTGTCACAACGTAAAATAGATCTTTTTTTTTTTTTAAAGGTACCAAAAAACAAAAATATATGCATGTTTTCAGATGTTAACTATACTAAAGCTATAATCTCAACAAAAAAAAAAAAAATTAGTTAACAACACAAAAATGGTACAACATATATATTATGATAATTATACATATAAGAATAACATTACATTGGAATGTATTCCCTGAATTAGTAACTAAAACCAACCAAGGCATAATCATCTTGTTAGTCTTAGACTCTAAGAAATATAGACTTTGACTTATAATATATAATATACAAGCCATAATACTAATAATAGCACTAATAATTCAATATTACTTAAAATTAATTAAATTTTACATTAAACACATTAAAAGTAATACGGTAGTTCAAAACAACCCATAATGCCGCTAATTACGCATAATACTTTTTTTGAAATTGCCAAACTAGCGGTAATAAACCTTATTTGGCTATATTCCTAGCCGACTGCGTATAACGCTTCCCTAAAATAAAATAAAAAATTAAAATATTCACTTAACTTTGGCCTTTGATATTGAAATATCCTGTATTCACTAAAAAAAAGCACAATATTCCACAAGAAACTTATTATATAATATAATCCTCAGTATTCAAGAAATAACACTTTCTGCCACAGTAATCCAAGAATTTCTTAAGAAATTACTAAAGAAAAATCATGAAAGCTTGTACTTACCTCAAGCAAATGACTAGAACTTATTTTAATTTCTATATTCTATGAACAGCCAAAGTTGATACATGTTGATTTATGAAACAAGATTCATCATCATTATGTCCCTTAGTCTTTGGACCGTTCGGGCGCCACAGATGACATGTGAACTATCCTCCTCCATTCGTCTCTGTCTTCTGCACTACGCCCAGCATCGCCCAGTGTTAGTCTTGTCCACTCTTTGATGGGTAAAAGTGCAGTTCAGGTGCATATATTATTTCTGTTTGAATTTCTTATTTTCACTTGTAAACTTATGTTAATTCTTTATAAAAAGTATTTTAAAAGTAAAATACCATCTTTTTATTGGAATACAACAATTTAACAAATTTTACAAGATAAAAAAGTACATTTTCATGAATCTTTTGTCTTTTACGGAGCCATTGTGGTAAATTCTGTCTTGGATGAATCCTATTGGATGAATCTTAGCTAAAATAAATGTATTTATTTTATAACTTTACTATCAAATATAACTGGAGTTGCCCGGGATTGGATTCAGAAAAAAACATCTGCTACTTCCTTTTAATTCACATTGCTATTAAGCGAAATGTCAATAACAAAACAACACCACTATAGTAAAAAAAAATTAATAATTTGTCTCCTATTAAAACACTTAAAATAACTTATGTACACCTTTTGTTTTTCCCGTTTTCCGATGGCACCCCGTTGTCCGGAATGATCATGATGGGATCCCGATCCCGGTAGAATACTGGTTATAGTGGGATCCTGATCCGGGTAGAATCCCGGTCATCGTGGAATCCCGGTCATCGTGGGATCCCGATCCCAGTAAGATACCGATGAGATCCCGTTTCCGGTGGTATCCCAATCCAAATGAGATCCCAATCCGGTGGGATCCCATTTCCGGAGCACCAAATGTCAAATGTTATTGGAGCAAGAAATCATTATTCAATGGATTATGGGCTAGACAATTTATGACAAGGTTCAGATTTCAACAAATATTATGTTTTCTAAAAGTTTCGAACCGGAATACCGAGATAACCAATGATAAACTTTGTAAAGTTAGATTTTTGTTTGACTTCATTAGACTGGAAGTGCATGAAACTGTACCAACCAGGGCCTAACATTTCAATTGATGAAAGAATGCTGAGAAATAAGGGAAGATACTCATTTCGCCAATATATTACAGATAAACCAACTAAGTGGGGAATGAAATTATGGGTTCTCGCAGATTCAATTTCAGGATACACTTATGATTTTGACATTTATTTAGGTAAAACTGGAAATGTTCCTACTTTAGGTTTAGCTTATGGGGTTGTTATGAAATTAGTATCTTCCCTTATCAACCAGGGTTATTCTTTATATTTTGACAATTTTTATTCAAGTTTTGCTTTGCTGACTGACCTTTTAAAGAAAGGTATATTAGCATGTGGGACTATAATTTCAAGTAGGAAAGGCTTTCCACCTGAATTAAAAAATATAAAACAATGGGCAAAGACCAGCAAGAGAGGGGATATGAGGTGGGTTATGAAAGAAGAAGTGCTAGCAATGCAGGGGAAGGACACTAAAAATGAATCTTTAGTTTCCACTATTCATAAGGCTAATGAATTTAATAATGTATTTAGGAGAAATAAAAATAAAGGAGTTTTTGAAAAGTTAGAAGTTAGGCAATCGGTATTCGTAAGGGATTATAATATTAGTATGGGAGGGGTAGTTAAGAGTGATCGGCTTTTAAATAAATATAATATGCTGCGGAAGACAAATAAGTGGTGAAAAACTTTATTTTTTAATTTCGTTGATTGTAATTTTCATTTAAATTTGTGGGTAAAAAAAACTCGGTCCAATAACTTTTTATCAAAAACCATTTTAAATTTATATTATGTTTTATATCAATTTAAAGATAATTCAATTGTAAATCTAGTGGTATATAACATGCCACTATTTTTAGAGTCTTTGATTTACCAAAGATTTACCAAAATTACTGAGATCACCCAAGCCGAGCACAAAAAAGGGGGAAAAACCAAGAATATTTTAGAGTTAAAGATTCTTTAGAAATCAAATAAAAAGAAAAAGGGAGATTTAAAATTCAGTATTAGTTAACTATAACTGCCTGTATTTAATTAATGAAGAATACACGTAAGTTAACATGATTAAATACAAAAGCGTTAAGAAATAAAATACGCACCTGAACTGCACTTTTACCCTTTGATGTTATCCTCCCATCGTTTTTTTTGTTTTCCTCTTCTTCTCCTCCCCCCTTTTGTGGTGCCCTGCAATATTTCTTTGGCAAGCCCTTGTTTCCTTGTTACCAAGGAAAAATGAAAAGTATAATTGTCAATTTTAGATAGAGGAATCAAATAATCCCTCTATCATTATTTTATACTTGTAAATGTTAAACAATTCTATTGAAAATTTCAAATTAATATCTAAAGAATATTATTATTATTATTATCAAATTAAGGAAATTTTTAAAATATATATTTTAAACAAATATATTAATTAAATACAAATAAGTGACGAGTCAGCATATTTGATACCTTTCAATACGGAAAATTAAGATTAAAAATATTTTTTGTGGAATATTAACAAAAACCAACTTATATTTTGTGGCTTTATTTAGAAGTACTCTTATTTAACTATGTTCCCTGTAAATATTATATTTTTGTCTCATTTTCTAACAAAGTTATAGGCATACAAACAACAGCAATATGAGGGTGACAAAATGTGGAGGAAAATCCCATAGCATAGTGAATGATAGTAAAAAAATGCTTTTATGGTCCTTACTAAAAAATTCATAACTTTTGAACCACTTCAGCTAGAAAGTGGATCTTTTTGTTTTTATAAACCATTCTTTGGGCTCTATACAGCTGTAGTACTTTTATATTTTTAA